TATTTCAGAACCCCTTCCCCTCCCCCATTTCTGATGAAGGGTCTAGGTCTGAAACATCAGCCTTTCTGCTCCTATGATGCTGCTTGGCCTGCTGTGTTCATCCAGCCCTGCACCTTGTTGTCTCGGATTCTCCAGCATCTGCAGTTCCTACTATCTCTGCTTCATAATAACCTCAGCCAGTGCAGAAGTTGACCTCACACTATTGGTGTCACTCTGCATCGCAAACCAGCTACTCAGACAACTGAGCTAACCAGCCTACAGCCATCCAAACATCTCATCACTGCACAAATAACAGAGTCCTGACAACCCGGAGAGACAGTTTCATATTCTGTCACCGCAGATACTGAACTTAAATTCAGTTACCTGGATGAATTTGGAATAAAAATCCCATGTGAGTAATTATAGGATCGCAACAAATAAAACTCATCTGGTTTATTCCCGCTCTTTGAGGGAGAACATGTTCTATCCTTTCCCAGTCTGGGCGTGTGACATTATCTGATGAGCCACAATAAATGCCAATCTTGCCAAAAGAAAGATTGCCTTACACTTCCTCCTTAATTGAACACCATCTGAGGGGATTCCAAGAATGTACTCACAAGATCCGAGAGAGGGCTGGCAATACGTACAGACCTCCATGTAGATTCAGATGAAGAAGGTTCTTTGGGTCTTTTGATCAAACATCATGACCATTTAAATCATCCATATCCACAGGGCCATTTTCTTATGTGGAAGATTGTCAGGAAAAACCCATCTGGTTCACTAATGTCCTTTAGGGAAGGAAACTGCCATCCTTACCTGGTCTGGCTCCAGACCTACAGCAATGTGGTTGACTCTCAACTGCCCTCTGGGCAATTAGGGATGGACAATAAATGCTGCCTAGCCAGCAACGCCCTCATCCGTGAATGAATAAAGAGAAAAAAAGAATTTGGCTTCTTTTTATTTCAAGAAAGCCTTGCTAATAACTTCCCCAAATTAAAAACACAGAAGCCAGATGTTCTCTTTCAGGAAAAGGCTGCCCTAATCAGCATGAGCCTCAATCTTGGGGTGGTAAACCTTGAGCTCTTGTGATTACATTTACTTCTAGACTTTCAACATCAATGTATAATGGAAGGGGAGGAATCCAGGGTCAATCTTATCGATTAAATACACAACAAAGCGGAGCAACTCTAGATCATTAATTAAACTAACCCTTCCTTCGCCATTGCCTGTCGAGATGCAAAGGCTTTTTTTTACATTTATAGGATATGGACACCACTGGCCAGTATTTATTGCCCAGAAGCCGGTTAAAGCCAGTCACATTGCTGTGGATCTGGAGTCACATGTAGGCCAGACTGGGTAAGGACAGCAGATTTCCCTCCCCAGAGGACATTAGTGAGCCAGATGGGTTTTTACTCTAATCAGCATGATCACCACTGGGCCAGATTTACATTCCAGATTTTTACTGAGTTCAAATTTCACCCATGGTCAGCTTCAAGCCCATGTCTCCCAACATTAGCCTGGTGGTCTGGATGACTCTCGTCTAGATCTCCTGGGGCAAAAGATTCTGGGGGCAGAAGATGTCAGCACCCCTACCCACCACACCTCTCCTGACACCCACCCAGAAGAAATGCCAACGGGCCAACAACAAGTCTACCCCCAAGCTATAAAGCACTGTGGCTGGGCTCACTTGATGGGCAGTGGGACTTCTATCAGTCAGCTGGGGGCAGGAGGGATATTCCACCCTCTGGAGTGGTCAGCACCACAGGCAAGGCTATAAAAGAGGTTCCGTGCCAAGGGATACAGGACATTGGAATTTAATATGTAGGCGGGTAGGAATGAAGAGGGTGCTATCATCTCCCTCTGATAGTGAAAGCGCACCCTCCAAATGATAGCAGCCCTTTATTCTCACCATTTTTCTCATATGCCAATCTTTTCATGAGGTGGGCAGCATAATGCTGGGCTCAGCTAAGCTTCCAACAAGCCCATTTGACCATTCTTTATTTATTAACATGCCAGTCTTGGAGCCCATCCATGCTCCGTGTTGGAGGGTGATTGGGCAGTGGCTATGAGTGTAATGGGCTGCCTGACTGATTTTATATGCACTCCCATCTCTCGCCATCAACAACACGCCCAGTGGGTGCATGTATCATCCAGCCCCCGGGAATGAGAAATTATTTTCCACCTTCTACAACTTCAGGATGTCCCAACACAACTTACGGCCAAGTCTGTACCAAGAAATAAAGAACTGCAGATGCTGGAAATCTGAAACAAAAAACAGAAACTTTTTCCTAGCTACTGACAGTTCACGAAATGTTAACCCTGCTTTCTTCCCACAGATACTGCCAGACCTGCCGAGTTTCCTGCTTTTGTACCGAAAGAACTGCGGATGCTGTAAATCAGGAACAAAAACAAAGTTGCTGGAAAAGCTCAGCAGGTCTGGCAGCATCTATGAAGGGAAAAACAGAGGTAATAACTGAGGAAGGGTCCGAAACGTTAACTCTGTTTTTTCCATCACAGATGCCGCCAAACCTGCTGAGCTTTTCCAGCAACTTCTGTTTTTGTTCCTGTTTTTGTACGTTTGAAGTGTAGCCACACTCATTGCAAAATGAATCTGTGCACAGCAAGATTCCACAGGCAGCAATGTGATAACAACCACATAATCTGTTTCCACGGGCTGACATAAGGATAAATTACAGCCCAGGACACCATGGGAAAACTGCGTGATCTTCTACACAATGATGCCGTGAGAATTTTTTACATGTCAAGCTGAGAGAGCAGACTGGTGCCAAAGGTTTTGGAGTAGATTTGTAGTTCGGGTTATGGGTGTTGTGGTTGGTTGGCTCGCTGAGCTGGTTTGTTGTTCCGCAGACGTTTCATTACCGTGCTGGGTAACATCACCAGTGCAGCCTCCGATGGAGCGTTGGTGTGTTTTCCTGCCTGGTTTTTAAACTTTGGAGTCCATTGAACTGGATTGCCTCACTTCCGGTTTTCCTTCATAGTGGAGTGTATATGGGGTCGAGTTCTATATGTTTATTGATGGCTTTCTTCATGGAGTACCAGGCTTCTAGGAATTCCTATGCCTGTCTCTGCTTAGCTTATCCCAGGATCTTGGTGTTGTCCCAGTCGAATTGATGGTTCTCCTTGTCCATGTGGATTGAGATGAGTGAGTATTGGTCGTGTCTTTTTGTAGCCAATTGGTGTTCGTGTACCCTTGTTGTTAATTTCCTTCCTGTTTGTCCAATGTAGTGTTTCTCACAGTCTCTGCAGGGAATCTTATAGATGACATTGGTCCTGTCCGTTGCGGGGAGTTGGTCTTTGGTTCGGGTGAGCAGTTGTCGTAGGGTTGATGTGGGTTAGTGTGCCACTCTGATGCCCAGTGGTCATAGCTGTCTTGTGGTTAGTTCCGATGTGTTCCTGATGTAAGGTAGTGTGATGAGTGTGTCGGGGCGTGTAGTATCTTCCTAATGTTGTTTGTGTAGGCATCTTCTGACCCAGTTTTTTGGATATCCATTATCTTTGAAAACCTGGAAGAACCTTGGAAGGAACTAAAGACCCACTTCCCAGTATGGACAGGACCAATGTCATTCTTAAGATCCCCTGCAGAGACTGTGAGAAACATTACATCGGACAAACAGGAAGGAAACTAACAACAAGGGTACACGAACACCAATTGGCTACAAAAAGACATGACCAATACTCACTCATCTCAATCCACATGGATAAGGAGAACCACCAATTCAACTGGGACAACACCAAGATCCTGGGATAAGCTAAGCAGAGAGAGGCACGGGAATTCCTAGAAGCCTGGTACTCCACGAAGAAAGCCATCAATAAACACATAGAACTCAACCCCATATACACTCCACTATGAAGGAAAACCGGAAGTGAGGCAATCCAGCTTAACGGACTCCAGAGTTTTAAAAACCAGGCAGGAAAACACAACGGCGCTTCATTGGAGGCTGCACTGATGATGTTACCCAGAAGGATAATGAAACGTCTGCGGAACAACGAACCAGCTCGGCGAGCCAACCAACCACAGCAGACAGGTGCCTCTGTTTAAAGTCTTGCCCGCAGGATGCAGAAGAGTGCCAGCCAAAACTTTTGTTCTCAAGTCCTGGAGTGGGACTTGATCAACCTTCTGATGCAGGGAACTCTGACAGATGGAAATTGAAAGAAAAATAAATGATCCCCTCGGCACATCCCCATGAAAATGCTTCACCTTCAAAACAAAAAGATTGGAGAATTACTGAGTACTGAAAGAAGTGATTGCACACTTCAAATCACTCTTTTGTGGGGAAAGAGATGTATTCATAAGGATTATAAGGTATTGAGATGAAATGAAATCATCTGCCATTTCAAATCCCAAACCTGCTATTAATTTTACATAATTGCACATTCCACAGCTATCATTAGCTTGAAGCGAGTGTTACGATTGGAGACTGAAAGTGCCAAAAAATACTCACGTTCAATTTGGTTTTCATCCTTCCATTATAAAAATTTGAGGAAGATGATACATAGTAATCTCTCCGGTCTGGAAATTGTAGTTCAAAAACACAAGTTTTCCAGGATTTATATTTTAAATTCCCAATCAGGTCACAGCATCAGTTTAGTAAAAAACTTTGGGACCAGGACAGCAATACTTGGATAAGGAAAACAGGTTTTATTCTTTCTTTGTAAAGTTTTATCATTGTTTTTATGCTTCAGGTTAATATGGTGTTTTCCATTTCGACACTTGTCGTTTGGAATTCTATAATCCAGAAAATTCTGAAATCTGGTAATAACTCAGATTTTGGACTAAAGAGGTGAGAATGTACAGGTTATTCTACAAGGTGTTTTACTTTGTCTTTGCAAAAATAGAACAAATTGTTGTCTTTGTTTGGACTCTGGGACTTTATTGGGAAATTTGCATTTTTCTTGCTCAATTGTCCATCCTTCTTCTGTATGACAACAGCTGCTTCTGTAACTACAAAAGGAACATCACCTGCTGTTAAAATCAAACCATTTTCTAAAGGATTCTAAAGAGACAGGTAGATGATCAAGAGGCAGTCTGTTGGAGAAGTTACACAGTGATTGTTTCATTGACACTAAGATCTGGGAAAGTGCCCAGGGCGATGAGTTTGAATCTCACCTTGACAGTTATGAGTTTTAAAATCAATTAACAAAAATCAGCGTAGACAAAAAATGAGCAATGGCGACCAAGAAGTTTCTGGACTTTTGTAAAAATCCACCTGGTTCAATCATGTCCTTGAGGGAAGGAAATCTGTCATCTTTATCCAGTCCGAGCATGTGTAACTCCAGATGCACAGCAATGTGGTTGATTCTGAAGTTCCCTCTGGGCAATAAATGCTGGCCTAGTCAGTAACACCCCCATCCCATGAATAATAAAAAAAAAGTCCCTGCCTCCAGAGGAGTAGTGAGAAAGGAAAGTTTATTTTAATAAATTATCTGAGTGTGCTCCATGTCAATTTGTGCATTGCGCCAAGAGGAAACATTGTTCTACAACTACTTCATCAATTTTCTTTAGCATCTAATAAAGCCATAGTCTTAGCAGACCATTGAGTGGCATCGTAGCTCAGTGGTTAGCACTGCTGCCTCACAGCGCCAGGGACCTGGGTTCAATTTCCCCTCGGGTGACTGTCTGTGTGGAGTTTGCACATTCTCCCCGTGTCTGCGTGGGTTTCCTCCCACAGTCTAAAGATGGACAGTTTAGGTGAATTGGCTATGGGAAATGAAGGGTTACAGGGTTAGGGTGGGGTGTTTAGGTCTGGGCAGGATGCTCTTTGGAGGGTCAGTGTGGACTTGATGGGCCAAATGGCCTGCCTCCACACCGTAGGGAGTCTATGCTCTCTCTCTCTTAGACAGAGGCAACTGCTGGTGGTTTAAACCTGAGGGTCACCACACCTCAGGTGAGGGGAGAGTCTTTAATAGACCTCAATTAGATCTCCTCTCATCCTTCTAAACTAGCAAGTATAGCCCTAAACTGCTCAACCTTTCCTCTTAAAACAAGACTTTCATGTCTGGAATCAATTGAATGAACATTCTCTGGTCTGCCTTCAATGCAATTACATCCTTCCTCAAGGAATGGAGATCAAACTGTATACAATATTCCAGATGGGATCTGACCAATGCCTTGTGCAATTGTAACAATACTTTTATACTGCATTCCTTTAGCAATTCCATTTGCTCTCCAGAAGAACTTGCTGCGCACTATTTGTCTGGCAAATTTGCTACATTTCAAAAGTGATGACAATTCAGAAATAAATCATTGACTGTAAAGTTGATGTTCTGAGATCCTGAAAGAGGTGTGTGACACCTTTTTCACTCAGTTAAAACCGAAAGAACTGTGGATGCTTTAACTCGGAGCAACAACAGAAATTACATTTGTGTTAACTCCGACTTCTCTCCACAGATGCTGCCAGACCTGCTGAGCTTTTGCAGCAACTTTGTTTTTGTTCCTGATTTACAGCGTCCGCAGTTCTTTTGGTTTTTACTTGGAAAAGGTATTCAGTCAGTCCCCAATACCCTTCCTCATTCCACTGCCAAGTTTTGCCTTTCTTTCACCTTCCAAAGGCTTCTCTTCTCTTCAAAGGGAAAGAGGACCAGAGTCGTGAGTTGACTCTGACAGATCTGAGCCCAACCAACAACTTCTTGTTGCCTCACAGTGAGAGTCAATGAAAGCATTGTTGGCTGTGCCAACAGGATCCAAATTGGACATCAGCTGAGGAGAACCACAGTCATCTCGATGAAGATTAATTGGTGCCCGCTGCTTCTCTCTTTTTAACGATGCAGGAACATCAAGAGAGAAGAAAGCTTCTGTTCTAGCAAGGTTTGATGTGGCAAAATTGCAAACCCAGCCAAAAGCCCGAGCTATTGTAAGGTCCAGTTTGGGATTAATTACTGTGTGTCAGTGCTGAGGATTATGGTCAGCGGAGCAGAAACCAAACAGCAGAAGTGCAGCAGAATGTGGAACTAAAATAAAGCAAATTCACTTTAGAGAGTTGCAAAGAAGATTAAAAATTGTAACTGTGACGGAAATGAGCAGCATTGCAGGGAGGCAATTTCTAACACTGTATATTTTTATTGGCAGTAAATTGTTGTGCTGTCCTGTTAAATAGCTTCATTAAATAGGAAGGTGAGCAAAGTTTATATTTTAATTGGATTTTATAACTGATCTCTAAGTATTGCAGCTCCAACACAGTCCCTGAAGGGAGGAGGAGCTAGTGTCTCTGCTGCATATTTATTTCACTGTATCTCTGGGGCGTTGTGGGTTGCGTGGGGCCAGAAGACACAGCTTCTATCTACAAGTTGTGCAGAATGTAGCACCAGAGGCTAAAGTGCTGGCTAGACTGAGTCCAGACCCAGTTTTCTTTTTCCCCTGGTTTTATTCCAACTCACACACCATCAACTCCAACAACTCTAATTACTCATTCCTTATGTATAGATATATATGCATCCAATCAGGTTCAATTACCCTCAATTAACACATCACCATCATCTGCTCCCAGTTCTATCTGTCCTCAGGCATCTCTCAATAATAATGTGGGTGAGTCCAGCAGTACACTGGCAGGAACATCTAACAGAATCTGACAATGCCACCTCACCCACTGCCAATTGCACCCCATTAACCATGCAACTCAATACAAACCTGGCACTCACTGGTGAATTTTCCATGCCAGTGTTTTGGAAAGCAATGCAGTGAGCTGGAAACATTGAGCTATTGTCACAAGCCAAAAGGCAGTGTTTCAAGGGAGGATTGCTGAGGTTTCACTTTCTTTGTGGATGCCTCCTCTCAGCCTCAACCGCAGAAAGGAGTTTGCATTTCTCGAGTGCCTTTCACTATCTCAGGACATCTCAAAGTGCATCACAGCCAATTAATTACTTTTCTGAAGAGCGGCCACTGCTCTAAAAGCAGCAACAGCTGGTTGGCACAAGGCAAGCTCCCAGTAAAACTTGCAAAAGATGCATACTGTTTTGTACACCTCAGGACAGTGCTCCAGTATGACCAGTATGCTCATTTTCAAGTAATTCTGGGGTTTCTCTCTGGAACACAGAGCAAAGAAAGGAATGGCTAACGTTAGCTGTGTTGGGTGGTGGTTGGTTTAGCCCTGGACAGTTTGTTTGCAATAGAGAGAGATGCTAATAGTACGGGTTCAGTTCCTGGACTGGCTGAGGTTACCATAAAGGATTCTCCTTCTCAATGTCTCTCCTTGCCTGAAGTGTAGTGACCCATCAGTTGTCTCTGTCTCTCCCCACCACACCCATCACCCCCTGCCACCCTTCCAACCTAATGAGGGAGCAGCTCCATGGTCTGATAAGACTATAATGACTTTCCCTTAGAATCACAGTGATCTATGGCACAGAAAAAGGCCCTTTGGCCCATTGAGTCTGTGCTGATCACAAACCTAACTATTCTAATCCTCTTTTCTAGCTGTTGGCCCATATGTATGCCTTAACATTGCAATTGTACATCTGAATAATTCTTAACCGTTCTGAGGGTTTCTGCCTCAACCTTACAGGCAATGAATTCCAGATTCCCACCACTCTCTGCGTGAAGAAAGATTTCCCTCACATCTCCTCTGCCTTCTGCCCCTTCTCTTAAATCTACATTCCCTGGTTATTGATCCCTCCACCAACGGGAGAAGTTTCTTCCTGTCTACCCTGTCTACGCCCATCATAATGTTAAACATCTCATTCATATCCCAACTCAGTTTCCTCTGTTCCATGGGAAACAACCCCAGTCTGTCCAATCTCTCTTCTAAACACTCCAGGCCAGACTACATCCTAGTAAATGTCCTCTGTACCTTCCCCAATGCTATCACATCCCTCCAATAATGGGATTCTTAATGTGGTTCATAAATACAACTTCCAGAGGGACACGGTGGCTCAGTGGTTAGCATTGCTGCCTCACAGCACCAGGGACCTGGGTTTGAGTTCAGCTTCAGGCTGGAGTCTGTGTGGAGTTTGCACATTCTCCCTGTGTCTGTGTTGGTTTCCTCTGGGTCTTCCGGTTTCCTTCCACAATCCGAAGATGTGCAGGTTAGGGTGGATTGGCCAGCCTAACTTTGCCCATAATGTCCAGGGACGTGCAGGCTAGGTGGGTTAGCCATGGGAAATATAGGGTAGAGGGTGGGGAGTAGGAGGAATGCTCTTCGAAGGGTCAGTATGGACCCGATGGGTTAAATGGCCTGCTTCCACAATGTAGGGATACTATGTTCTTCTTCAAAGTGAGTTTTGCATTGTTTTATATCCATCTGAGTTGGTTTTGTATCTCATCTGAAAGACTGCAATTTTTCACCATATAATGGACAGTAGGAACTGCAGATGCTGGAGTCAGAGACAAGACAGTGTGGAGCTGGATGAACACAACAGGTCAGGCAGCATCAGAGGGGCAGGAAAGTTGATGTTTCAGGTCGGGGCCCTCGTTTAGAGAGAAAAAAAA